ATATCAGGGTTATATAGGGGATTATATCGGGATAATGGAAAAGAAAATGGAAACTACTATAATGGGTTATATAGGGGTTATTCAGCAGGTCATCTGTGCACGGTTCCAGGTTCTGCCAGTAGTGATTCTGCCCATGCAGCACTAGCACAATGTTGATCTGGCCGACTTCACGGACTCACAAACCAGAAAATCTTGTGAAGCTTGGCCGATGCCCTGCCTGCAGCATGCCTTCTGCATCCTCTTCCAACAGTATCCGAACCTCCAGCTTCAAGGAGTGAAAGATTGGGCAAAGAATTCTCACTTCCAATGACTCCCTGCTCACTAACTCTTCCAGTGATCCCTGCAGGCCATCAAAGAACGGAACCAGCCTTCCATCATCATTCTCATCAGCATTGTCATCACCACCACTACTTGGAAATGCTCTTTCTCGTTGTGCAGATTGCTATTGATCTTGCTGCTGAAGGCAATGCCTACTCTCTTGTTGCAAGCATTGTTCTTGTGACTCTGCCGTTTAAATGCAAGCTTCAGATGCCTGGCCTGCGTGTCCAGCATGTTTGAGAAGGTGTACTTCTGGCTCTTGAAGGTCTGCGAACCATTGGTTATGGCTTAGGGCTTGGGAAGCTGGCAACTAGCATGAAAGCATCTACTTGAACTTGCTCTGTGAAGTTGCACCAGGCATGACAGCCCGACCGATGCAGTACACATAGCGGCAACTATGTCCGGCTGTAATGGCATGAATGGTCTGAGAGCTAGCAAGATTAGAAAAAGAAACAGACAGCCTGTCCACAAATCATAACTATGGTTGCCAATCTACTGGTAGCATCCTATCACGATCACAAGAACAGAAACATCAAAACTCATCGGACCTGCGCAGACATCTTCGCCATCTTCTCTGCTCCCGACGTCACCCTTGGATGATGCGACAGAGCCATTGTCAAATGGCATCTGAGTCTGAGAATGCAAGAAGCCGAAAAGGAAAAGAAAGCGCAATCAAGAGGGTGAGAGTGCAGGGACTTGACCCGAAATCTGTGCCTACATTGTGTTCTACATACTTTCTGTGATTGCATATTGCTTCCAAGCTCACAGAAACAGTAGAACCTTGCAGGACTCTGCGCATCCTGCATCCAGTGTCCCTGCACCATCTAACGGACGTCTCGAAAGCCTTCAGCATGACCAAACCATGACAATGCGGACAAACGACTTTCGCAGGAGATGCATGGCACCTCCTGATGGCATATAAAGCACATGGCTGGTGCAAAGTCATGCAGGCGCTTCCCAAAATTAGGGGAACTGTTTGGGGAGTCCCTAGGATTAAAGTAGTTTGAAAATTTACAGCACGGAGGCAGTGGCAATTCCAAGAACACATTTGCTGGCGCGAACCGACCCGCCTGGCCACCGCCGTCCGACGGCCACGCAAGCCGGTGAGCGGCAAAGCTCGGAGCTACACAAGAAGTGGATCGAAGTGTTGTTACATGTGCAGCGTTTTGCAATGCATCGCGCTGCCGGAACGTTACAACTATTGCTGAAAGCAAAGTAGCTGCAGTTCTAGACCTTCAAGCCTGCAAGCTGCTGGAAGTGAAAAAAGCTGGACTAATGGGCTTTGAGCAAAGTTGTTGCAATCACCATCTCCTTGAACTGCCGCTTGCCGTTGCAAAGCTGCTCTTCTGTGGATGTTTCTGCGGCTCCTTCATGGTCCTGTAGTTTCAAAGCTCCGGCCAATTTTTTGCTGGAGCTTGAGCCATTTTGCAGGGGAAGTTTGTGGGGAAGTTTGCTCGACAGTCAGCATCCGAAACAGAACAAGGACCGCTGTCATTAGTTTTCATGGCTGACTCTTGGAAGAGCTACTCCGCTGCTTACAAATAACATGCAGTTATGGAATCGAAGACTACAGATACTCTGGCTCAACCAGCCTACGTCACAACTGCCGTGCATCTGCAAGGATTCCCCAACACACCTTCAACCCTGAAATACTTGTTTTTCGAACCTGGAGCCCCAAATTGTTTTGTGCTTTTTGGATACCCTCGCCAGCGGCGCTCGCAGCGATCTTGTGTGGGTCAGGTCTCTCCAACAACTCAAGAAAACTAGCGACATTGGGATAAACCTCTCTGTTTGTGCCATGACTCGTGCAAATACCCCCCTTGCGTCTACTGGGTTGCTTCTAAGGAACTTAAATTAAGTTCCCGTAATTGGGCATATACAGTAATTAATTTGGTTTCCCCAAGATAGCGACTTAATTTTAATTCCTTAACAGCAACCCAGTCTATTCTAACTGTTCTTCATGTTGGAAGGCTCCGTCGCTCGGAGCCTTTCCACGCTGAACCACGGCTCATGCGGCTATTCCACCATATTATGGTAAATCAATTTAAGGTTGTTAACAGAAACCCAGGCAAAGACAAGAATCTTGCTGATTGTAAGTTGGGAATCACAGAATGGATCCCCCTAGCTGCCTGTTTTCGAGTTCCCAACAATATAGTAGTTTACCAAAGATAAGGGGACCCCCAATATCGACCCCCCAAGCACTAGAATCCTTATTATGGGGAACCTTTGTGCTCAATTTCGGGAACCACATGTGAGCTGCCCTTGTCTAAACTCCTAGTCTCCCCCTTAATAGCTCCTATAGTAGTCCCCTATATAATCCCATCGACTTGTTGTTGGACTTTGAGTAAGAGCAACAGCACAAACATCAGGGGAAGGAATCTTATTACTACTGTTATTGTTATTACTATTATTATCATTATGATTATGATTCGTATATGGAGATGATCCAAACCAAAACAGCATGCAATTAGCAGCAAACAACCACGATGAGAATGATAATGGCGACAACGCTGCATCGGCCGCTTGAGACCGTGCTCTGCCTTCTCACGCTAGGCTGCGGCATCTTCTGCCGACTTCGTTTTCAGACGCCCTGCCGCCTTGTTTGTGGGAACGCTGCCTAAATGCTATGATGCTTGTGTGAATTGAACTGTTGTTCCTACTGGTTGTAGCGGTAGTCTCCTCCTCCTCCTCCTTTGCATCCTCATCTTCCTCCTGCAGCTGGTAATGCTGCTAATTCACTGTCCATCTTCTCCTGCTGCCCATCTAAAATCTCCTCGAAACCGTTCGCAACCTTCTGCTCATGAAAAGAAAGTCTTGAAATGTCCTCCAACAATCCTCAAGTTCGAAGTATGGTAGACACACCGCTACACCCTGCAGTCATGCAAGCATCACTACAGGTTGGGACATGCATCATGAAATCCTTCCAGGGAAACATCTGAGCACCCGACATTATCCCCATGTGGACTACCTGGCCAGAACAAAGAAGAGAAGCAGGATTCAGTACTTGAAGAACTTCAGCCTCGAGATTGGATTCAAGTGCGATGACAGATGTTCAAGCCGCAAAGAAGTCACCATGCGACTCACTCTCACTCACACAGCGTCAATGAATGTGCGCATGCAGGGGTAGCCGAGGTACTGTGTAATGGGCCTACCAGTAATTAACTGGTAGGCCCGAACGCTGATGGCTTGCTGCCATTGCGAATTCTTTATTGTCAGTTTCAGCGAGCCTAAGTAGCTTTTGAGTAACTAGCACGCAACTTCTTTGAACTTTTGATCCATCGCGATCCTTGATTGTGGACCTGCGTCTTTGGGTAGTACGGTCTATGTGTCTGGTGAAATTAAAATGAGTTAAGCCTCCTGCTGTAACGCCAGGCATACTCCAAAAAGCCTGTAGATGGAAGCAGATGATTTCTGAATACAAGTGTATGTATCATCCGCGTAGAAAATTTCGGAAAAGAAATGCATGATATGGCTTCGTTTGGCTTAGTGTTTAGTGCCTTTTCTACGTCTCGAAAGAAAACTGTAATAAAGATGCAACTTTGGCTGGGCCGAAAACAGACCTTGTTATTGTGCCGGCCCAGGCTGGCAGATTTTTTCTCAGGGACCCGTATTGCAGGAGGGACCCGTACTATCACAAAATTGGGCCAATCCCCAATGTGGTGAAACGGGGCACTCCTGGCGCATGCCAGCATGTTGCACCAACAAATTAACTTCTTTTGAGTTTCGGGACTTGTTTAAATACTCTGTATTATTTTTAATGTCCTGTCTGGGTCTCCAATCCTGGTGAGGTCTCCTGTTAAGCAGTCATGGTCCATTTGTTCGAACGGGCTTTCCCGATCTAGGAAAATGATTTCTGTATTGCTTCCAACTTGTTCAGCAAGATCCTGCAATCTACGCATCAAGAAAATCACGTGAGCTATAGTCTACTCTTCTAGTTCCCCCTCAGTCACCCCCATAATACTCCCCTATACAATTGCCCATATAATCATATAACCCCCTATCAAGAGTTTAGACTATAGCTCACATGACTTGTGCTTCTGCTCTGAGGCCATGTTCGGTTCTGAGATGCACTCATCCGGTCCTTGAGAACCGTATTACTTTCCAATAAGGTAGTAAAATGTCTCTCTTGCATGTCCATTGAAGATATTGAAGTCCCTCGAACTATCCTGCTGCGGTTTGAGGATATTTTACTTGGAGTGATTTTTCTATCTTTGTCTTAAAGCTTGCTGAATGTTCAACTTGGTTTAGCGCCAGCAAATTGGTTAGGCCTGACCATTTACCCTTCTGGCCTCTAAGTCTTCTAATCCCCGACCCCTAATATCAAACCCCACCCTCGTACTAAACATGCACATTGAACTATGATATACCACAATGCAGAGTATTTAATATTAGCGGGGTGGGAGGGCTAATATTAGGGGGAGGGGATTGATTTAGCTTCGGCATGTTCCAACTGATCTTCCCTGACCACATTTTGATTTTCTGGCTGAGGGCATCTGTCAATGCATTTCACTCTGCTTCTTTGGCAGCTATCTGAGTTCAATCAGATCCCAAGTTTTATTTATTGCCCACGCACACATACTTGCAGTGGACGGGACAAAGAAATCTTAGCACTTGGGAAAGCCATAGGTTTTACAGCTCCATAATACAATCCCAACAACCCTGATGGAACCCTAAAAATCAAACTCCCAAAACAAATTGGGCCAAAGTGACAAGCTGAGTTTTCAGCAGCTCCTTCATGCCCTCCACGGTGCCTGGGGGAACCCTCATCAGGGACCCTAGCAAGGCATGGGGGATGGTCAGGGGGATCATTTGCATTCCGGGGGTATATTTTGTGAAACTCTAAACCTCACCAAGGTCTTGCGAAACTAGGGAGCGAAATATCTACAATATTCAGCCATTTCACCAGAAAATCACGAGGACAAGCATCATTTGGGAATATGTGTGCGTGACTTTGCAGATGCTGTGGCTAGGGCTGCTAGATCGGCACAGATTTCCATACCAGGAACTTCTGCAGGTTGTTCCACATAGCAACCGAATGAAATGAAAGTCTGCTCGCAAATGCAAAGGGAGGACAAAAGCTTGAAGCCGCAATTTTATCCTGCAGAACCACTCTTCACCACTTTTCGAATGACTGGTCACCTAGGCTTCAGAAGATCTGCCAGGTTTACGTGCAGGTGTGTCCCTCATCTGGGTTGCTGTTAAGGAACTTAAATTAAGTTACCATAATGGGTATATATAGTAAGTAGTAGGGTTTCCCCAATATAGTAACTTAAATTAAGTTCCTTAACAGCAACCCAGTCATTCCACTGCAAGCCGACAGGTATCTAACTGGTTGCTGCTCAAACCGGCCACAGCAAGATCCCGGCAGTCTCCATTGACGCAGTAAATGAGGTCATTTTTCAACACCTCTCAGAGTCACGTTTCAAAAAGCTCGTGTCATGGCAGAACAACTCCTTTTTTCCCAGTCGGCTGCTCAAAACTGGAAACTCCGCCTCGGAACAAGAGGCCATCCAATACGTCACTACAAGCACGCAGATATCGAAGACATCTTGCGATCTAGAGCCCTTTGGGTGACAACTTCTCATGCTAAACCAAGAATCTGTATCATCTATGAGCACAAGAACAACTGGTTCGCCATTAGATTCCAGCAGTCGTCACCGGCTCACATGCAGAGTGTTCATGGTAGCGTCCTTCCTTCAGGTTGCTTCGTATTTCTTGACTGTATAAGATTGACTTCCTTTGCAGGACTCTCCCAGCACTCTACGACCAAGATTTCAGAGGCAACCAGGCTTCAGAAGTTGGGAGTTTGCGGCAGTGAAGAGAGCCTACGACCAGCACACAAGGAAACTCCTGAAACCGAGAATGCCGCGGGGCCAAAAAGTCACTGGAGCCATGGAGTC